ACACTCTACAAAGCCCAGATTCGACCAACTATGGAGTACTGCTCACATATATGGAGTGCAGCACCCAAACATACCTTAATGCTTTTGAACGCCGTGCAAAAACGAGCTATCAAGCTGATCAATGACCCCGCACTTACTCGTAACTTGGATGGTCTCGAACATCGCAGATCTGTGGGCGATTTATCTCTCTTCTACAGGTACTATCACGGAAAATGCTCTGAAGAGTTGGCACGTATAATTCCTCCGAGAGTAGCGCCTACCAGGCGAACCCGTCAAACAGACGGTAACCATGAAGTGGAAAGGAAAGGGATAAGAAAACGGCAAGAAGACAAGCTGATGCAAAGCAGCCGAAGCTGCCACCATTGCGCCATTTTTAATTTTTAGAATTTTTCGGCATTTAGTTTTGTTCTTGGGTTCTTGTGCGTGTTTTCAGTATCACTGGCAGAATAATGAAATTTGAAGGGTAAGTAAGTAATTATCAAATATTAATTATGGGTTAATCCAAGCAATTTTGTTCTGCGCTGTATGTGGTGGTTGTAGGTGGTAATAAATAGGTGGTGGGTGTGTTGTGTCTTCACTGTTTTATTAACGGAACTCTGCAAAATCGGGTCAATTTTTTTTCAGGGCCTATTCGACAAGATATTGCAAAATAAGTTCTCTTTATTAGAGCAACCTTTTCCCCTGTAGGTACCCGACGAGGCTGCCAAATTTGAAATCTGTCATTTCGAATTTTAAGAACCAAACAATAGACCTATCTATTTTTACCTGGTATGCGCGCGCAACACGAGGCAATGTCTTTTTATTGGCTAGCTAATACAGGTGTGAGGTAATCGTTTTGCACGCTGGGCATCTCTTTGTCCTTGTTCATTGCACGTGGTCTGACAAGAATAAATCTAATGTTGATATTGAACTTGACAAGTGTCATTCAAAAGTTGTTTGACATTTTCATTGACAAATACGTTGCACAACACGCGGTTTTTCTCCTTCTGATTAATTCAGTCCACTCAATTGAAGAGGTGATGCAACACCAGCCATTCACATACGCTTTATTTTTGATGTAACCCCTTCAAAAAAAGTCTAGTGATGTTAGATCGCAAGATCTAGGCGGCCAATTAACATCCCCATTTCGTAAAAGAAGTTTACGTTCAAACCGTGTTTGCAATAAGTCAATGGTTTCTCTTGCTGTGTGACATGTTGCGCCGTCTTATTGGAAAAATAAAGCGTATATGAACAATCCCCAAACAATTCAGGAGTTGAAAGATGAGATTCAGCCCATTATTCGTGAGATACCACATACCACTGGAAATGTGCACAGATGTGAAAATTTTGTGTTGTGGGAGAAGTCGCGGTGGACATTTTTTGGATATTGTGTTCCACGGAAAATTGTAAACGATCATGTTACTTATTTCTATAAAGTATTAAATGTTTCCTAGTTTGTTTTTCGTTTGAATTGAAAAAAACATCCGGAGACTCTTATTGGAACACCCCATATTATTCAGGGTGTCCCACGACGTTTTACCTAGGTGATAACGTCGGAATTTTGAGCATCTGATTTTTTTATTTAATTTAACCACTTTCTTTCCAGTTTCGGTCAAGTGGTGGCAACTTCAGATTCTTAAATGTAACTTATGGTATTTAATGACATTTTTCTTTAGAAAATTCAATTAGCAAATCGGCAATGCCATATTTGTAAAAACTTTGTTAAAGAAAATGATAAAAAATTCCAAAGTGGAACATTCGATGACGGGTTCCGAAGTTATCAGTTGGGTAAAATCTCGTGGGACATCCTGTATATACTCATATATTTAAATTAGAATACAATTTATTTGTTCATATAATGTTTATTTAAAAAATATACAGGGTGTTGACAAATAGTGGGATCAAACTTCTAGGATAAATAGTACTCATTAAACTAATAAAAAAATTATTAGAAACATAGGTCCACAAATGCTTAGTTTTCGAGATACAGGGTGTCAAAGCTTGAAAAAAATCGGTTTTTCAAAATCCGTTTCCCGAATTTCTTTAAACATTGCAGATTTGTTTGCTATAACAAAAGGTATCTTTTGACTCTATTAGATCTACCGTAATTATTCTAGTGGCACCCGGGCCTATTTCATAAAACTTCCTAATATTATCAGCTAATAATATTAGTCTAATGAAATAAAATTATTAGCTTAGCTTTTTCTCTTTCATAAAGACTTCAATGCTACAAGTCTATGATGCTACTCATAAAATCCAAACACTAATAATATTACCACATTAGTGTCGCGTTCTTTTTGAAGCTGAAAATTGACATTGTCAGTCATGACTCGAAGGGATACATAGAATTTCCAAGCAAAACGCTAACATGAAACGGTTGCCATCTCTCATCCATCCTTCCACATAACGAGTTATTCTCGAGACTCTTGCATCACTTACGAACACTAACTTGCCATTTAGCACAAATATAATAAAATTTTAAAGATGGACCACATAGAAATATAATGTTTAAGGAATTATTTCCGTGGCGGTCGACAAATGCAGGTCGTAAGCAGAAGAAGCATCTGTTTTTATTAAGGTTCCATCAACTGCTCCATCAATGGCATACCAGCAATAACATTGAATTCGTAAATCTTCCAACATCCGTTCGACCAACAAACAGTTTCCCTAAGTTATAGAGTATGACTTATAGCCAAAATTACCCTGTGGACAACTCTGCATCTGCACATTGTCGCTTTTGAGACACCATGCATGTCTCCGGCACAGTGATATTGCATGCCACTGCCTAACCAATAAAGTGCTACCATAAGCTGTTGTTTTGGTGTTAAGGCATGATTTCTTCTAGTAGCATACACCAAACGATGCTCAATTCTGACAAGAACGAAATTGAATTTCTCTGTTGACAACCTAAATCTTACATTAAACTCGTAAGTTTCTTCCATGGGGAGTTCATTCTTTGAAAATTCGTGGTCTCTTCACTCAAACTTCTATTTTTTCATCGCTTGAGTCACTCATAATTTATTTTAAAGTTTTATTTCTTTGCTTTGCAGCACAATTGTAAAGAGAAAGAAAGTCAAAAAACTTCAAGTTTTATTTTTTCCAACGAAGTCGTTGACTAATAATGATAATATTATAGGCACAACGCTAATAGATTTTTACAAAAAATATTAGTGGTTATCAATAGGCTCATTTATTTATGAAACTGATGAATTCATTAGTCTAATAAAAATCACTAATATTCCAAGAAGAAAGCTCATAACTAATAATATTACTAATATTTTTTTTAAAACCTCAACTCATAGTTTTCATTAATAATATTTGCTAATGAGTAATATTATCAGACTAATATTTTTTATGAAACAGGCCCCAGGACCCCAGAGGGCAATTACGTTGGTAAAAGTAGGAAAAAAATGGCATATCACTATTTTTTTATAACTTTGAGATTTTTTCTCAAATTAAGCAAGTTATATAACAGTCAAAAGATACCTTTTGTTATCACAAACAAACCTGCCAAATTTGAAAACAAAAATTGGAAAAGGCATTTTTGAGCTGAAAAACGATTTTTTTTTCCAACTTTAACACCCTGTATCTCCAAAACTAAGCATTTGCGGACCCATGTTTCTATTTCTATCAACTTTTCTCTTATTTCAATGAGTACTATTTATCCTAGAAGTTTGATCCTACTATTTATTAACACCCTGTATATATAAAAGATGGGCCCCGAGAAAATCCTTGTGGGGGGCCCCGGATTTGAAGTTACGCCACTGTATGACATAGTGAGTAAGAAATTAGTTCATAAGTCTGCTTTGTCAGAAACAATTTAGTTATCATAATAAAGCGTAATTTGATTAGACTTGATTCTCAATACCTACTTTAACAAAAAAAACTGAAAGGAAGCACTTCTAAAGGAGGTGTGACCCTAAAAAAACAACTTAAGCTACCCACTTAAATCAAGAAAAAAATCTAAGATCTCTTGTGGAAACCACAGTCCTATAGTTAAAATAGTTTCTGAGAAAATTCCTTGTGAAGATAAATTATGGAGGAGCTTATGTGATGTCACAACCGCCAAGTCCGCCGAAGTCGCAGTGTTCTGTTCGTTCAGTCGTCAGTAAATCGTACTCTATACTTTGAGTGGTTGCAATTCGCGCTAGTGAGATAATTGCCTTTTGTTTTTGAAAATTCTTACACGTGTTAATACTGTGCCTGATAATCCGGTGTGACGTCACAAACACCTAGTTGTAACTTTAAACCGCCCTTACTCGAAAACGAACTATCGTAGCAAGATCTGGTTTAAATATTCATTCTTAGATTATTTTGCACTAAAACATTCATTTTTGGGTCACACCCTCTGCAAGAAAAGCTTATGATTGAATACAATGGTGATGCGTTACTATTGAACGTTTTCTTCAATATTAACATACTGTATTTTGGTGTCATTTCTATTTTATTTCTTTCATTTGCATACGATTTTATCGTGTCACATTTTTACTTTAAGATAGGACATAAAGTTCGTTTCACGAGGGTTTATACTTTTGACATCAAAGACGTCATAATCACAGAACGTCATAACTTGAAATAAAAAGGTTGTTGTAGAGTAATTCATTTGACAGTATGACACATTCAATTTTTTTGACAAATTAAAATGAATGAGTTCTGGTTTAAGAACCGACGAATGTTTTTGACGTCATTGATTTGTTTCAGTCAATTTCTATTTGTTAAAAAAGGAAGGCAAATTATGTCAAAAGTATTAACCCTCGTGAAACATTGGTCGCGTTCCTAAGCACTCAACATGTTGAGTGATTAGTAAGCGGCTTTGTTCCAGCTAGTGAAATGCACAAAGTAGAAAAGTTTTGATTGGCCTAGAGCTGATTTTCATCTGTTTTCAACATAGCCGCTGACTAATCACTCAACATGTTGAGTGCTTAGGAACGCAACCAATGTGTACATACCTTTTATAGGGAAAACACTTTGGGGCGATATATTACAAAAAAAAAACATCTTGAAATTATTCAAGGAATTGCGTTTAATTAGATTTCTGATAAACTGCTCATAAAAGTCTTCAAAGCCTAGTCACACATTATCTAGGAATATTTATTCAGAATACAGAAGATTTCAACAGAAAAACTTTAGTAGCTAGGAAATCCATGCTTGTTTGAGCATTAATCAAAAAAAATTGTAAAAAAATCTCATATCATGTACTAAAAAAAAACTCAAACTTTAATGTCCTCCTTATCATTATCTTTATCTCCGTCGTAAAACTCGTTTTTGGCCTCAACCATTTTGTCTTCCAGGTCCTGACTTATCCTGACATCGGGATCCTCTTCCTCTTTGATCTTCGCATCTTCCGGAATGGCCGGCCCAGGCGCGTCGTGCATTTGCACACTCGGAGAATGCTGACACATTTTTAAATTGTCATAGACAAATCTGGAAAAAAATAAAGTATATTAAATTAGAGAATATAGAGAAAGCCATCAGATCGTTTGAAAAAACATGGATTTTCAGTAGGTACATTAGATAATACAACAATGGATGAAGGCATTGCAATAAATATCTCTAAAAAATCATTTACGGTTGTGGAACAGATATTATTAGGTATAATGAATAAAGAACAACTCATTGAAGGATAAGATTTTTTAACAAACTAGAAACCATCAGATTGGTTTATACCTCAGTTATAAAATGTAATAGACTTACTTTGTGATAGCCTCAAGGTACTGCTTGCTATTGATGTTCTCTCGCCGAGTTACCACTTCAGGATGTAAAGTAAAATCTGGTGCAAAAAACTCAAAATATTCTGTGTAAGGCAATTCATTTGAAATTTGCTCGTCAACCAGAAGCGAAGTTTCGTACGTCCAGCACCTTGCAACATTCCGAAGGGTGTAGCCTCCACCACCAACAACAAGCGTAGGCACATTCAGGCTCTTCACAAATTTGACGCATTCCCCGTGTCCTTTTGTGCTTAAAGAAAAACAACCCAATCTGCAAAGGAATATTAATTGATCAAATAAATTTAAGGACTTTTAATTGCTCCAAACCTATCGCCAGCTAATGAATCCGCCCCGCACTGTAAAACTATCGCTGTCGGTTTATAAAACTCCATCACATTACTTATTGTTGGCTTAAAAACTTGCCAATATGACGCATCATCTATACCTTCTCTTAGAGGAACATTAACAGAATAGAAACGTCCACTTTCCGCACCAACTTCATACATATCGCCTGTTCCAGGAAAGAAATAATTCCCATATTTGTGAAAGCTGACGGTCATGACTCTGTCGGTCAAATAAAATGCTTCTTGAACTCCATCTCCATGGTGAACATCAATATCAATGTATAATACTCTTGGGTGATACTTTAATAGTTCCAGAATTCCTATTACGATATCGTTAACATAACAGAATCCGGAAGCTTCAAATTTTTTTGCGTGATGAAGTCCACCTGAGTAAAAAAAAATATATTAAGGCCCGGTTTATTCAACTTCTGATAAACTGTGAAATGCACGTTTTCAAATGCCAAAGGAAAAAATAGAATGAAATTATAAATTTAATCAAAGAATCCATTTTACTTTCCTATTATAGAATAAGTTATAATATGTAGTTATATTTCATGCCCATGAAAAATTATTAATTCTACAACGTTTTTGCATTAGTTTGGGCGCTATACCTATATAATAGATATTTAGTTTATTAGGAGTATAAGTAATACTTATGTGACGCGCATGGAAGTTTGAACGCCAAGCGGAGCCAGGCGAATCAAATCCATGCAAGTCACATGAAGAATACTTATACTCCAAATGAAATACAATATTTTATTTTCAAACAATCTTTATTCCGAATAGTGCAGAATTTTTAATTCAAATTATGACATTCATATTTAGAAGGATCACCTTTATAAGCACCTATACCTGTATGTACAGGTGAACTACCTTAAATCGCTATGGAAAAACATGTGTAGCGGCGTATAAATGTTATACTCCAGCGGAGTATAACACTTATAGGCCGCTCAAGCTGAATGTCATTGATGTGACACTTATACCTTGTCAAAATATTTTTATTTTTGTTTTATTTAAGTTGCCAGATTATCTCTAAATAATTTTATATTATAATTGTTAATTTGATTGGTTAGAATGGAATATTTTGTAATTACTTAATGTAATTATACTTTAGTAAAATGGAGACATCCCGTGAATAAATAAAATAAAATAAAAATAAAAAATGATCACAAAAATTACTGTCATATGACGTTTGAAAATAATAGTATATTACATACCGAGTAGGGAAATGAAAACTTTCCTCCGAGGTTTGTATACTATTTTCTTTGCAAGCACACCATTAATTACGATTAGTCATTTAATTTTTTTAATATTAAAAAAAAAATAAAACAAGCATACCAACATGTGTCATTCACTGTTTTGACGTTTTTATTTTACCTGACATGTTCTCATTGTTGCCAGCAAAGGTAAATAAATTACAGTGAGGGAAGTCCTATAGGAAAATCGGTGAGGGAAATCGAACAGGGAAGTGACACAGGTAAAGTAACACTTTCAAATTTTTTAAAAGTCAGTCAAGATTACATAATATGGTTGCAAATAAAATAATAAACTAGTTTACCTGACCAATTAATAGCAATATCACAGTCTTGATTATTCAATTTCATAGCTCCCTCCAATGAAGCTCCAGTGTACATGGAACAAAAGTCAAATAGACCATAGAAAACAGGACAGTCGTCGCCAACATTGTAGTGACTTAAATGTTTGGTGAAAGATGAAATGTTCTGTGGGGTTACTTTTTGGAGAAAATCTGAAAAAAAAAATATATTTGTATCAATCGAGAGATCAATTTATTTATTTATTCAATATACGGGTTCACACTCTAGTCTCTATCATAAAATATTACAATGTACTATAATTATTATACATATTTACTGACAGAATTTTTTTTTAAAAATATTTTTTTATTTATTTATTTATATTTATTTCACATTACATTATACAGGGTGTCCCACTAGAAAGTGACCGATTGTAAATGCTTATAACTTCTGAACCAGGTGTGCTAGATACCTGCGATTTGCACCATTCGACTTCTCTTGGCCTAAAGTTTTTTTCAGTTAGTTGCAAATTTTTTTCACACCTATACAGGGCGAGCGAGAGGGTAGTAAAAAAATGCCGTTTTTCAACATCGAAATTCTCCACTATTTTTATTGAAACACCATGTATGTTGCAACGCCAAAATTAAGAGTCGTGTACAAGGTATTGATGTCCCAATAAACATCGGGCATGGAACTTGAAGTTTTAGCCCTAAAAAATTGAAATAGAAATTTGGCCCAAAAATAAATGCTTTTTTTTTAGGTTCAAAAAAGGCCGACATTTATTGGCAAATGAATACCTTGGTCACGACTCTTAATTTTGGCGTTGCGACATACAAGGTGTGCCATTAAAAATAGAGGAGAATTTCGATGTTGAAAAACGGCATTTTTTTTACTCGCCCTGTAGAGGTGTGAAAAAAATTTGCAACTAACTGAAAAAAAAAACTTTAGGCCAAGAAAAGTCGAATGGCGCAAATCGCAGGTAGCTAGGACACCTGGTTTAAGAGTTATAAGCATTTAAAATAGGTCACTTTCTATTGGGACACCCTGTATATAAAAAAATATACAAAATATGAAGTGAAATATTGTCATTAATTATTTACCACTTCCTACTACTAAAATACCAGGTGGTAGCTTCCTAACAAAAGATTAGCAAATTGTTGGTGTTTTTTTTCAAGTGTATCGTGTGGCATTGGTTTGTCAGTGACCCAGTGATAGTGAAGCAGAAAAAAGCTGTATTTGTATCGCCTTTTTTATCCCGAACAGCCTTTTTATGATAATAAACAACATATCCCGAAAAGTTCTGCCCGAGGTTTTGCCACTACGTCAACTGGCTGAGTAAAGGTGCTTATGAAAGCATTGTTGACAAGTTGACGGGAAGATGGGAGGAAGCGACGATGAAAGCGAAGACGGAGATCCTTTTTGCAAAATATGTAAAAGGGATGTGGAAGAAAATGAACAAGACCTGTTTTGTGAAGGAAAATGCCAATCCTGGTACCATGCGGCTTGTGCTAGCATCAATTCACAACAATACAAAAAAAATTCAGGAGAAATATTAAAACTCTTAATATGGATGTGCCCTACATGTAAAAGACATTTAAAAAAGTGAATGGAAATGAAAACATGCAATCTCAAAATTGAAAATCTTCACGATAAGGTTGCAAGCTTTGAGGAAAAAGTCAATAACATGTCAGAAAATATGAAAAAAAAATTTGATAAGCCAACATATTTACGCGTGCTAAGGGAACATCATTCACCAGCAGGATCACCAGTAGTAAGGCCAAATCTTCTGAACTTGATAATTAAACCAAAGAACAGGCAAGATATGCCAAAAACCAGAGAAGATATACAGAGGATAAAACCAGTGGATATCGGAGTTAGAATAAACAATAAAAAAGAACTCTCGAACGGAAAAATTCTTTTAAAATTTCCTACAGAAGGAGACATGAAAAAGATGAGGGACACAGCTACCAAAGTCTTAGGCAAAACCTACGACATTATAGAAACAACACTTAAGAATCCGCAGATAAAAATACCTGGATATAGAAGAGATTGTAGTGAAAAGGACATGGAATCGATGATAAAGATGCAGGACCCATTTATAGCTGATGAGTATTTTAGAGTGACATACATTAAGTTCTTCAAAACCAAAAAATATAAGACAGTTTACGCAGAATGCTCCCCCAAATTGTTCCATATATTTATAGAAAGAGGCAAACTTCACATGGAATGGGAAAGGTTTCCAGTATATAAAAATATAAGTATACTCAAGTGTCTTTAAGTGCCAGCAATACAACCATAAAAGCAGCGACTGTCCAAATGAACTCGTTTGCTGTGCCGGAGAACATGAAGAGAAAGACTGCGTTAATCAGAACAAAAAACCCAAGTGCAATAACTGTGATATAGCAAATATCAAATATTCAATAACTCATGACGTTCGTCACAAGACAAATGATGTTGAATGCCCTACATACAAGTATCGTCTAGAAAGTGCAAAATCTAGAATTAACTATGGCTGATCCTATCAGTGAGATACTTGAGACTTTGAGACTATACCAGAGTCAGTAAATATTGGCTCAAAAGTTGATACCAATGTTCTGGTGAATAGGGTAAACATAGGTCATAAACTGGTTAATATTCTGCACGTGAATATTAGAGGTTTAAAGTGAAATTTTAATAATTTATTGGTATTTCTAGAAACGTATAATATTAATGCTTACTGTGATATTATAATTCTAATTGAATGTCATAAAAAGCTATACTACATTTTAACATTCCAGGGTATTCGGCTCGGTATTCGGCATATTATAATAATGGGAGCTATAATGCATTCTTTGCTATAGACTACAAACATCAGAGGTAAACATAACAAAGATCACATTATCTAAAGAAAATATTAATTTTAGTATATTTGCATCATATAGGTCACCATCATCGAATTTAAATAATTTTATTAATGATTGATGATACTAGGTAAAAAATAAAATTTACTTTTTATTTTTTTATTACTTAATATGTGTGTGCGTCTATTCTAACATTGTCGAAGTTTTTGAAAAAAAAAATAAGTCGCTAACTTTAACGGTTATAGAAATATGAATTTTTATCCGGGAGCTTTGAAATGCGCTCTAATGCTGAAAGCGGCTAGCGGCTACCATTCTGAAAATCATCTGCGTTAGTGCGTTAGCGTTACATGTACCTATATCAAGTTAGCAATACCACATGCACGCCGGGATATGGCGTTAAGTGATTAATTTGTCGCTTTTTTGTCGTGCAAAAAAAAAAATTGTCGCGTTTTTCTTTTTTTTTAAATACCCTGGTAATGCTAATTTGTCGCGTTTATCTTTTTTCTTAAACACCCTGGTAGTGCTAACTTGATATCAAGTTAGCACTACCAGGGTATTTAAGAAAAAAGAAAAACGCGACAAATTTATTTTTTGCACGACAAATTTACGACAAAAAAGCGACAAATTATTCACCTAATAAAAATTCTGTAGGAACATCGGGTGACGTTGGTAGTGCTAACTTGATATCAAGTTAGCACTACCAGGGTATTTAAGAAAAAAGAAAAACGCGACAAATTTTTTTTTTGCACGACAAATTTACGACAAAAAAGCGACAAATTAATCACTTAACGCCATATCCCGGCGTGCATGTGGTATTGCTAACTTGATATAGGTGTTACATGTAGAAATAAAATAAAAAAATCTATAAACATAAATTAATTGATTGAATCCTTTTTTATCAAGTTAGTTTAAATATTTTCTCCTTCGTCATCCTCATATAAATCAGGAATATTATTTTGACAACTTTTGCAAGGACAATCGCTGCAGCATGTTAAACCCTCTTTCAAGCAGACACAATTATTATTTTGACATAATTTATCTTCGTAGAAGACATTCATTAGTTGCCTTATATTCATTGGTATGGGATCAGCAGTCATCAAAACAGGCTCAAAACTTCCATTATTCCTAGTCCAACCAAAGTTAACAGGGTCAAGTATAGACATAATAGGTATATGACTGGATATCCATATACGCAGTTGATATATGCACCTGAAATTTTGTTTATCGCATAAATACAGCTTCTTTTGTTATATATGTTGAGGTTATGTCGGTATCACGGGCGGAATTTTCAGAAGCTGAGAAAAAGTGCAAACACTGTAAAAAAAAGGCTGTAATTTCGCTTGATTGTGTAAACTGTGGATCTAGTTATCACAGGAGCTGTGCGTTCCAAGCAAAAGTAGCCGATAAGGACGAAAAAGTCGATTGCTGTAAATATTCTGACAAAAGTGAGGTTAAGCTCGATCAAACCCAAATAAAATCTAAGGGTGAAGAAATTGATGTAAAAAAGATGAAAGTGGTTATCCAGGAAACGATCCGTGAATCCATTAATCCATTAAAAAGAGAAATGGAGCTCCAAATGCAAGAACTTGGAGCCTCAGTGCAGCATATGTCTGACGTCTTTGATGAACAAAAAAATAGAGTTGAGGAAATGCTGGCTGAAGTGAGGAAGCTTAGAAAGGAAAACAATGACTTAAAAGGTAGGGTTCACTTACTTGAGTCTAAGTTAGATGATTACGAGCAAAAGGAAAAAGTTAATAACATCATTGTAGTCGGAGTTCCGAAGCAAAACAATATTGATACAAGTACAGCAATATTGAAAATTTGTACAGCTATGCAGTTAGCCTTTAGCGAGAACGAGATCCAGGATTGCCATAGATTTGGCAAAGAAGAAGATGGTCCAATTTTGGTTAAGTTTAGTAACCATGACAAGAAGGTGGAAATGCTTAAAAGAATCAAGCAACTCAAGGGAACAACTGTGAAAAAATGTGGACTACAAGGAATTGACAGAAAAATATATCTGAACGACGACTTGACTTCAAGGAAGCGACTGTTGTTTAGGAAGGCAAGAGATTATAGAGCAGAAAAGGGCTACAAATCGGTTTATTGCGTAAATGGAAACATCTATATCAGAAAAAATGATCAGGACCGCCCCGTCAGAATAAATTCTGAAGAGGATCTTGAGTAAGAATAAATATCAAGGTAAAAAATATAAACTGGACTAAAAAAATATGTTATAAACATTCACAGAGATAAATGACATTCTAGACGAATATAAGGCTTGTGAAGCTATCGCTTGCGATGACTTGTCCCAGACAACCTATTTTGACTCGACTAATGATATAAATTTAATGCATATCAACATTCGAAGTGTT